GCATGAGAAAATGTATAATTAACTACCCTTGGGGCACTAGGCTACAAACCGGAAGGTCGCGGGTTCGAATCCCGATGAGGTGGATTTTCTTCAGTTTACCTTATCCTTATAGCCGCACTCTGGCCCTGGGGTCAAATAAGCCTCTAACAGAAATGAGTACCAGAAAACTTACTTGGGGATAAACGGAGGCCGGCTCGTAAGGCTGACAACTTCACCGCCATATGTGAGCCTATTTTCTAGAAAATGTGGGAGCTTCGACGTCTCACTACCCTGTGGGCCTTCACAGCCTGTTACAGGGATAGCTTTAACATTTTTACCGGAATCAGTATGAATTTGAAACGAGTTTTATGTTCGGAGATATAACTCCATGTAGTCTGTTGAAAGTCAAACCGATATTTCTCGGGAATAATTTGCCTCCCTTTGCAAAGCCGAAGAATAAACCAAGCAAGAAAACAACGTGAAAGCAGGTGGAGAGCAGAGCTGATATCCAAGAAGACAGAACTCTTCATAACTACCGGTGTGAGAACCGCATAGCATAAATATATGGTACCTTACGTGTACCTACAGAAATGCTACGCACTGCCAAGCAGAGGATTTATCTGTCTTTTCCTATGAGATATATATCACGTAATTTCCATAAGCCTTTGGTGAACATATTGAAATCTTTATCATTTCTACGGTGGCTTATCACGTGCTGCAGTTTGTGGAGTCGTTTTCCAGTCGACTGACCCGTTCGAGATAAAAATCGATTGTCAGCTACCTTCAGCGCTCCTTCCGATTAGAACAGTAATTAGTGGCATTGGACAACTGTCCGATCTGAAACTTTGTGGTCAATTTCACTGGCGCCATCTCCTTACTTAATTAACCTACCGCTGGCCTAATTAATTCACGAAAATTTCCGCTGCAAGCTCTTGTGGAGGGTATGATAGGCTGGAGTGCCCGGCTGCAGAATATGCATGAATTGCTTCGTCGTACGTTCGTGGGTTGTCTCCGTAATGGTAGGCTGTAGTTATTGGGTTAGCATGTTAAATGCAAATTTGACAGTTTGCTACTGTTACTGTTATTATACTTGTGTGTAAATAAAGAATTGCATTATTATTGTTATTATTATTATAATTATTTTTGTGTATTTCTCTCTATTCGTGCTAGCCTTATAATTGGCCTCTGTGCTGTTAAGTTTTCACGTAAATAAACACGAATTGAATTACTGTTATTACTTTCAGTTGTATGTTTGGCTATAGACGTGGTTTGGATTGGTGACTCGATTTTTTGACCACTTATACACACAGTGTTCTCAGTTTATTACAGTCTCAAATTGCCATTTCCTAGCAACGGACTTTAATACAGGAACTACGAGTATAACAGTCTCACTGAATTACACATTCCATATATCACATACAAAGTTTTCTCTTCACAGCCGGACTTCCAACTGACTAAGTCAAAGTCAAAGTCATAATGCAACTGACGGTCAGTTGGTCTACCAAACCTACAGCTGAAGATACATACCTACACCTACTTAGTCTCCTCAGGAAGTGCTGGAGGCGGCGCAATTTCTTATTTTTTAGTGATTTTTTACATGTGCACCTTTTGTTTTTATTTCTTGCTTGGTTTACTCTTCGAAGATGAAGATGACACAGAACCTTTCTCCGAAACTTCCATAAAGTTTACACGTTGTCACATACCAGAAGAGAGCACCGTTCATAATTTCCGCTGTGAGATCCTCAAATCCAGCATTGAGTGTACTAGTTAGGACGAGCATAAAATTTTACCTCCATCTCCATACGTTCGAGTAAATAGTTATTTTCTTTGATATACTGCATCAGTATTATTATGATGAATATATCGATATCCACATGCACTCGTGTGCATTTCAGGAATTTGTACGCGACATAGTTATTACTTAAGAGAACTGTAAGTCAGAGACGTTTTGATACTGAGTCCGAGTCTTACGTCACGACCGACGGTCAGTCGGTCAGCCTGTCTTGGCATAAAGCACCCATTTGAGGCTTGAAACCAGATTTTTATTACTGTCAGACAGTTGCAGGTTTGTTGATGTGGGGCGCTCTTTCTGACGACAGGACAGGTCTGTCATTTTCAATAGCCGTTGGTCCTCGCCAGCGCAGTCATTTTCGGTTTAGAGTCCCTTGAGACTCGCGACCATATTTTACTGTCTCAAATTTTAAACTTCCCTTTTTGTCGCCTCCTGCGGTTGAGGTATTCGACCGCGCCTCCACACGGGTTATATTTTCACGCTGTGAATGGCTATGGTCTTTATCTCGCTCAGTGAGGTTCCATAGAATCTTCTGGAAGTTTCTTGGAAAAGACTTCAGTGTCTCAATTTCCTGGATCAAAGGGCAAGTAAGCAACAAGCAGCAGCACTGAGCTTGATTGATATAACCCTGAAGATTGAGGTAAGTAAATTCCTCGCAAACGTCAGCAGAATTTCTACCAGACTACACGGCTCTACATTCCAGAATTACGGCCGCGAGTTTCTGAGAGCTCGAACACAAGAGAGAACAAAGTTGCACGTGGAGTGCTATCAGCAGTCAGGATGCCTAGATGATGTACGAGTGCATTTACTTGCTTGTGTTTGGTGTGAGTAGTTCCTTTCAATTAACAAATGTTTTATAAGGAAGAGGAAGTTTTATATAATTCAGATTCTCAGTGCTCCCGGTAAATACATCGTACACGGAGACATTTCTGCCCAGAATCTGTAATATCTTTACAATAGTCTATGTAGTATAAACATAATCTCGAAACAAAACAGCTAGGTAATTACTTGTAATGGCGTTGTAACTTTGTGGTTTATAAATCTCTGGGCTGAAATGGCGGTAGACGCCTGCTTAGTTCCAGGGCGCCTCATTTTGAGAAAGCCATTTCCAGTGCTTTAGTATGCCATAACTACCTTCCCCTACAATGATATAGCCTATGTAGAAACAAATTATTGAGCCTATAATATAACAATTCTTTAAATATATGTTCGTCATACTGCTCGGGGATTTTCATTTGACCTTGAACATCTACCTAGTTCTGATATGACATTTTCAACCCCGAAAAATGTACATAATTATTAGGTATGTTCAGCAGAACTCATTCCGTTCAACAGTCTTAGGACATCGAAGTAGAATTATACGTTCCCCTATACATCTTCGTGGTATCCTTAATTAAGGACAAAAATAAATTTTTCTTTATTAAGAGCAGAGTAATCCAACCAGTTCCTTATTATATAAAATTAATGCGTTCCGGCATGAAGTGGAGGTGATAAGTTCATGATAGGACGGTGATGGTGATGAGGTGCGCCGAAGCACCTGTCGGGTTATGGAGTTTCTATGTGGAATGTTATGAATTTACAGGCACTTAAAACATCAGGTTTTATTTCGTTTCAGCAATATTAATCGCGAATTCATAACCTAAAATCTTTATTACTTACGGAACTTGGCTTTTGTCTATACCATTTTAAATATTCCCATTTCGTTTCCAAGCCATTAAATATCCCAAATATTTTAGTACGTATTTAATTAAGTATACGTAACTAAATTGAAGTTTAGTTTTATTTCAAATCATTAAAATTTACATAAATAGAATAAAAATTAGTTCCCCTGAACTGAGAGAACTCGTATATCGAAGTAAAAATGTCGCCCTGTTATCCGTGTCTTCTGTGACATGTTTCCAACAAGAAGAAAGACGCTTCAAACCAATGGCGCATACATAGATTAATACTGGATTTTTTTGGAACTAATCGCTGCCCAAAATGGAGACAAGGTGAATATCCATTAAGGCACAACTTTCGAAAAATGTATTTACGTAGTAACTGCTCTTTTTGAATATCAAAGTTTAAGAGGAAGAAAACGAAAGATAGCGGAGATTCTTACTGACTACAAATGGTGGAAAATGGATGAGCTCCATCTTCTAATGTATGGCCGCCATATCGTCTGCATTCCATTACAAGTTAACAGCAAAGAAGATGGTTAACGATCGAAGCGCCTCTGGCATGCTGAGCGGCGACCGTGCGAACTACCCATTTGTAGTATGAACCGGGCAGATGGTAAGCGAATGTCTGAGTTCAGGCAAATAAACAATGAATTACTTAAATGGTAACAATGAACGATACATGGATTACAGTGACACTCATATAACTGCGTAGAACATGCCTAAATGGGTGTAGAAAGGATATTTATCCAGTTAAACTGATAAAAGTGTTCAATTTATAATGTGAAAAGAGGCGCTTTATTTAAAATATAATCGCATTTGTTTATTGGAATCGACATTGATTAGTGCCCACATTTTCTTGGGTTCGGCTTGAATCCGCTGCTCAATGGCTAACTGTGTGTTATGATACGAGAGACCTCACCCCTACAATTACTTCTTGCAGTAACTCAAAGAGACCGAAGCTGTTGTGCCTAAATTTATATAAATAATGTAAGATTTGAGGTCTTAAAGGCGGTCACTATGAAGAATGTCGTCTTCTGGGATGTGGCGCCGTGTAGATATTGTGTGAACCGACGTTTCGGAGGAACTTATCGCCTCCATATTCAGGGTACCCATCCCAGAAGACGTCATTCTTCATAGTCACCGCCGTGAAAACTTCAAATTTTACATGGCGTTCCCCTATGTGGAGGCTACTCATCGACACATTCGACTATACACAAGATGGGGGCGATACGTTCCTCCGAAACGTCGGTTCGCGCAAGATTTACAAGACGCCACATCCTAGAAAACGGCATTCTTCATAATAACAGCAGAAAAAAACTCAAATCTTATAAACACACACTTTCATCCGACAAGAAGACATGATTCATGAAGGTAAAGAAAAATATGGCTGGAAGTTTGAGGACGGAATGGGTTAAAAAGCTGATGATGAATCTTCCATAATAATAAAAGAGGTCACACGAAAATCAAGCAGTTCGTTTCAAAGAAAACTGTGTCAAAATCTCTGTTAAACACTCGCTACTGAAATAATTATTACTATCGGTAAATAAATACTGAAATCCTGGACTCACCCATCCATCTGTGTTTCATTGGCTACACGACAGAGGACCCCTCGATTCATACTGCATTTTCCGCTGACGGGGTCAGGGGGTGCTAGGTTGATATACGGAGGTTCCTCCAGGAAAGTAATTTTGAGGTGGAACTTCTCAGGCACTCCCTGGGGCGGTGTATGGCTGTTGCCTGGCCATACGATATCCTTTATATCCAGACCTTCCTTCTCCCACGACTTCCATACTCCGATCTGCAAACAAAGAACATTCAAATGTGTGAGAGATATGAGGAAATATTTCAAAACTACATCCTCAGGAAAACAGAGGAGTCTCCATATTTACATATGATCTGTCAAAAGGATATATGATATCGCGAGGAGCTTGAAAATCCCATCTTACGATGTGCGCTTGGGAATTCCCTTCTCGAAGCCACGCTATTGGAGGGCTTTTTCACGTCTGCTTGCCTGTTTACTTGTAAAGTCTAAAGGGTTCTGACGATGGTGTATAACATTGGGGATGACTGAGTTTTTGGACTTTGTCCACCGTCGGGTATTAAAAAGAATGCAGCGTTTCGGAAACTGGAAAGTTATTTAGGTTTAGCTCATTCTAACGGACCCAAGGGGATAGATGTTTCCCAGTAGATCATCTGAGGACGGAAACAGATCCAGTTTCCGAAACGCTGCGTTCTTTAATGTCCTTTGGAATACAGGACGAAGGATAAAGACCAAAAACCTAGTTACATGTGATCGTGAAGCGTGAGAAGACATTAATTCCAAGAAGAACCCATACAACTTACTTGCTTGTTGCATAGATTCCTGCTCATAAATATTTATTATTATTGTTATTTTATTTTAATTTTTATGTGGATATTAATAACTGAAGTACCTATTTTGTATTCAGCTAAGTTCTTCTCATATGAGCTCAAAATTTCGAACCGTCGACAAAAACTAAAAAAAAAATGCTGAGCGTATACTCGTGTATCACCTTTCCTACTTTCCGCGAAAGAGTGTTCGTATTAGGAAATATTATAAATTATGAGAAATGAAATTAACTAACTCTATGGACCTGAACCCATCTCGAGAAATTACCAGTCGCCCAGCCACTTAAGAATTTCCTGATATATTTTTGAACCCGAAAGTTCATTACTGTGTTCACAAGAGCCCTCCAGTTGTTCCTATTCTGAGACAGATCAATCCGGTCCATATCATGCTCCGGTCGCATTACCCTCGGTACACATTGGGTATGAGGCTGGGTGGGCCCCACAGCCGGTCCGGATGACATAGAGAAGAGAAAATTCTTGACCCCACCGAAACTCGAACTCCGACCCCTCGGTCGCCCAGTCCATAGCCAGCCGCTATACCGACTACGCTATCGCGGCTCCATCCCTAATAAAAGAATGCAAATAGTAAAATTTTAAGACTTTTATACATAATTTTAAAATTACGCGTCAATAATCTCCTTTTATCACACGCACCTCTAAAAATTGTCATATAGGATCTACATATGTAAAGTGTTTTCATTGATTCAGTATTTCAGTAGAAGTATGTTACATTAGCAACGGATTTAACGCTCTTTTCCGAACACTGCGTACTGATACCAGAGCACTCTATGTTCGTACGTTACTTCAAGGTCAAAAGATTGCGCCAGTGACTGATAGTTGTTACGTGAAGAAACACAATTGATCCTACAGCCTACTGTCCCTTAACCCAGTACAGATTTTTATATATGAAACAATCTTCCCGCACGATTACTTTTGAGAGGGCAGTGTTTTCGAGGCAAGATCGTCCCTAGAGACCAGTTTCACCTTTCGTAAACTGGGATAAAACAGATTTATGTTCCACAATACGGCTTTTAGAAACGATGGTCAAATTTCTCTCTGCGAAAGGAAAAAAAAACACTTAAGACTATTTCATGGCAGAAAAAAAATCTTTATGAATCAATATTAAGGTTGGGAAGATACAAAAGGGATAATTTATCTCATTGGCGTTTGGGAAATGTATAATTTGAATCTTGGACAGGATAAAGAGTATCCTGAGTTCTTCGTGTTTTTCCTCAATTTTCCTGCGAAATATGATGAGAGGGCATAAAAATAAGCAGTGAATCCTTCCACCCAAATTCCAATAAATAATTCACTATCATCAAACCATTCGGCACTACGTAACCTGAGCTAATGTGAGCTTCGTTAAATATATGACAAATACAAAATGGAAAGCTGTATTCCGTAGCGGTGTAGGCGTTCTTTACACCTGGATGCTCTGAATGCAGCTACTTCCACAGCCCATCCATTCGAATGTGCATTTTTAGGGCGGCCGCACACCAACTGCGTCAAGACAAGCATCAAGACATGAGACAAAAGACGCAGTCTTGCTTCATTCGTGATTCGTCAGCATGAAGCTAACGTCAGCATCATGACTCAGGCCGGTGTGCGGCGGTTTTCATAATCTCATTCGTTTCAACTGTGACATCGTGTCTTGACGCATGCTGGTGTGCGGTGTACCTTAGAGTTGTATCAGAAAACAGTTTCTGAGACCATAACAACTTCCCGAATACAGAGCCTTAACTTTATGTTTCTCGTAATACAATTTCCCCTATGTTAGTATACACTATGATTTCAATGTTTCTGGAACTCGAAATGGCCCTACAATATTCGCTTAGTGGGGGGTGGAGTCCAACTGGGTACACTCGGCATGGCGGTCACTGATTGGCCTATTGTAGCCTGCCCCCTGTGATTATGATGAAGTTTGGTGGAATGAAGATTGGCAGGGGAAACCGAGGTACTCGGAGAAAACCCGTCCCAGCGCCACTTTGTCCACCACAAATCCTACTTGATCAGACTCGGGATCGAACCGCCCTTCAATATTAATAACGACTTGTATAATATCACCAGGGATAAGGTATTTCTGAGTCATATTGCGTGTGAACAACTTCTTGTTAATGAAGAAAGCAGTCTTCTGGGATTTGGCACCGTGTATATGTGGTGTTAACCGACGTTTCGGAGGAACGTATCGCCTTCATCTTCAGGGTAGAACAAAAATATAAGAAATCTGCAAGCGAAGAGACCGTGAGAACCGGTAAAAACATCTGCTTTCTTCATAGTCACCGCCGTGAAAGCCTCAAATCTTACAACTTCTTGTTAGTTCCATCCCCACAATCTAATATCACTTTTCATCAAATTCCGAACAGCTGTTCTGCAGTTTCGATACAGCGGCAAACCGACTGACAGGGTCTGTACTATATGTGCTCAGTTCATGCGTACCGTGAAAAAACACGTAGTGAATAGTACATAAAGAGCTTAGCATTTTTAACACTCCACAAACTGATAAATAGCAATATTTCATTGGCAGAATTCATTTTACACTTCCAATTATTTCGGACTTCCTACTATATAATGTTATGGCATAACGTGTTATTTCCAAGAAGTGCTTAAAGTGGTGGAGCCTAGTCTTCCAGTCAGCCTGTATGCCTCAGGTTCGAAGTGCTAGGCCGATTTCGATGACATGTGTTAATGTAATATCCAGATCAAGAGTTATGAGAAAATTCTTATATTGTAACGTGGATGGCCAGAGCTTTTCTAGGCAACGACCTGTAAACGACCTGCAGTTGAGTGCGTTAAAACAATGGGACGAATGTTTATTTTGCCGTTGCTAGGCGACAGCTGGCGCGCAAATAGACTGGCGAGGTAGATATCATGTGACTGACTTTCTATGGGGTCCGTGCCATTACCGTTGCTATGCAATCGTTCGGTAAACACTTTTCAACAATAGAGGCCGTGTTTTCTGCGTGGTCTGCTATATAACAACAGTTACAAAACAACAATGTGGAGGAGGGGGTCGAATGCCTCCACCGTGACCTTGAGAGTCGTAGGAGGCGACGAAAAGGGAAGTCTCAATTCTGAGATAGTAAAATACGGTCGCGAGTACCAAGGGACTAGGACTTGAGAAACACTGCGCTGGCAAGGACCAGCAGCATATACAAAAGACAGACCCGTCCTCTCGTCAGAGAGGGTGCCCCACAAAACCAGACCGTAGCTTTCAAAGAGTAATAAATATCTGGTAATGAAGTTAGACTAAAAACTGACACGTGAACATAAAATAATATTAAACTAAATTTCAGGGAATGTGGCTTGCAAGTTTGGGTAAAATTAGTTTGCTTCCACAAGCCACTGACTCTAGGAACGTGCTAAAAGCGAGAGCTTTTAGTCGACAGAAATGTTTACGCAGCACAATCTCTTTACCGATAAATAAATTCCCTCCAAATACCCGCTGAGTGTTTGTCGACAAAGCAAGCGCTAGCATGACGTCTTATGGTTATTATATCTTGCGTGAAAACCGTGGCGCACATTTTTGCATGAGAGTAACGAAACCATTAAAAGGCTGGAATAGAATTGGAGTAACTTCATAGGAGCGAAAACAAAACTGCGTTATCTAAAGCCTGGTGTTTCAAAATTCCCAACTCGGGCAAATGGATTTGTTCTTAAAAGCCTGCTTTTTATTTTAAAATTCTAATTGAAGGACACATTGTCACGATTTTTAATATGACCATAGACGGGATTAGGATTGGAGAATGGATTTACTGACCTTTTACACAATTTACTTGCACACGTAATTACAGAGCTATCGCTGATCTAAACACTTTACAAATCACTAGAGCCCAGGCTAAGTCTTCTCAGTCTGCTTGTGTAGTCGTTTCCTAGTAATGAATCCTAACAAGAGAGTTTGTTCAGCTTTTGTGTTCACGTCATATCCGCTGACTAACGCTCCACAACTGAACTGTCCAGCTCCAGCATTGGCACACCTGATTAAAAATAATAATTATAATGAAAATTGTAAAAAGTGAATAACCTGAAAATAAAGGGGAAAAGAGCCCGAGTAAACTTTCTATGATTATAATTACTGAAACCGAAAAAACCTACCGAAAATATGATATTTATGTTTTTTGGGAGCTGGGATAGCGCAGTCGGTATAACGAGTGTAACCGTTCATTCTAATTGGTGGACTATTGTGTATTAATTAAATCTGTATTAAGTTAAGATTACAAAAACACAAACAAAGAGATCCGGCAGATAGCCAACTCTTTCACGCAGAAGGGACATAGTTCAAGTTTTGCTATGTGGACAGGAAGTAACATCAGGTACTTTCCTGGAATTCTGACAGTTTCAGCAAAGTCGGAAAGTCTTTGAGAATTTGAGAGCTGACAGCTCGGAACAGCGATAACTTAAAAGCGGGACGGCCGGAGCCTCATCCCCTGATCG